TGACAGGGGGCAGTGCCCCAACCCCTGATTGGCCCTGCTCTGTGAGTGACAGGGGGCAGCGCCCAACCCCTGATTGGCCCTGCTCTGTGCATCACAGGGGGTGGCGCCGAAACCTCCCCATTGACCCTGCCTTGAGTGTGATAGGAGGTGGTGCCCCAACCCCCCAATCAGCCCTACCCTGAGCGTGACTGAGGGTGGCATCGCAACCTCCCGATCCGCCCTGCTCTGTGCATGACAGGGGGCGGCGCCCCAACTCCCCAATCAGCCCTGCTCTGAGCCTGACCAGGGGCTGCACCTAGGGATTGGGCCTGCCCTCTGCCACCCGGGAGCAGGCCTAAGCCAGCAGGTCGTTATCTCCCGAGGGGTCCCAGACTGCGAGAGGGCACAGGCCGGGCTGAGGGACCCCCCCCTTCCCCCCCGAGTGCACAAATTTTTGTGCACCGGGCCTCTAGTAATACTATAACATTTATACTATTAATAGAGGCCCGGTGCATGAATTCGTGCTTGGGTGGGGTCCGGCCAGCCCCACCCCCTGGTCAAACTCCAGGTGGAACTCCAGTTCGAGGGGACAATTTGCATATTAGCCTTTTATTATATAGGATTCCACATTTACTTAGAGAAATAACTTATCTATGGTAATATATCTATTAAGGAGCAGAGGCAAGATTCAAAACCAAATCTACCTGAATTTCAAACCCTATGTGCTTTTTTTATTCCTTAAGTCTTTACTTATGGAGTATTATAGATGTCCCCCCTTATCCCCCTTTTGCCCTCCTCCACTGGGTTTCCACCCTGCCCCAGGCCTTCACTACCCTGTGTCCAAAGGTAAGATCTTTGGTTAATTTCTTCCCACCCTCCCAACCCCCTACCCTCTGAGATTCATCAGTCTGTTCCATTTTTCCATGCCTCTGATTCTATTTTATTCACCAGTTTATTTGGTTCATTCAATTTCTTGTTTATTTTGATATTCAATTGTTGATAGATATATATTTATTGCCATTTTATTGCTTGTTTGTTTTTTAACTTTTTCCCTCTTCTTCATTTATACCCAATCAAAGGTAAAAATTACCAACCACATTTCAGACTTCTCAAAACTAATACAGTAGAAAAAACAAAATTTGGGAACAAGCAAAATTTTATTTAGTAATGCTTAGATTTCAGCTTCAAAATAAACAATTTATTACAAATCTATGTGAATTAAAAGGAAACAATATATAAGTATGATATACTTAAAATGTAATATATAAACCAGTTAGTGTGGTATGAGAATGCTATTGAAAACTCAAATTCAGATAGAGTGCCTTGGCAAATATATAATTGATAAATAACACTGACTATGTCAGCATTAGGACAAATAAAAAATTATAATATCTATCAACCTCCCCTGACAAGCACTGTGGTACAAATTAGTGTGGTGGCTAGTGTGGTGACTTTTATCTCCTCAAATTCCTTAACCCTACCAGACCGCTGTACCGATTTCTCGGTAATTTCCATACAAAGGTGGAATATTGGTGCTAGATGAAAGGCAGATGAAAGGTAAACCTATTTTCTACAATGTCTCCAAGTTCCATCTTATTCTAACCACTTGTCTGCATGTAACTAACGTTTTTCTATATCATGTTGGTTTTTTCTCTTTAATACTCAGGAGCCCAGGTATAGGGGACAGTTAGGTTCAGGGCCTCAGGTCTGGCAGGATTAAGGGGAAGGGGATGGAGCACAGGGCAGGAGGGGAAGGTAAAGGTGCCAACCAGGAAAATCATTAAGTATAGCCTGAAATGCCAAATCTCTTTTACTTAGGACTTCGGAGTTTTCCACATACAATACTTCTTACTCAATTTATTCCTTCCATCTTACTTCCTTGTCTGTATATTCTGAGTGGTAAACTTGCAACATAAAATGAAAAATACATACTTCAGGGGGGGCATTTTTCAACGAGACAATTTCCCACTCTAAGAGAAGTATTTGCAATTTAATTTCATCTCTATAAACTCAGCCCCATTTGAAAATTTTAAAAACTCAGTAGAAGACGCATGAAATCATCCAAGTTTACTATAGAGGAAAACAATTTGAAATGTTAATTTAAAAAATAAAGGGCAGTCGGATTGTCTTTTTTTCCTTCCAATTTATTCTTTAAATTACCTTTCTTAAACTGATGTCACCTAACAAGAGTTCCTGAAGCAGGGACAAAGTAAGTAAATAAAATGGGTCTGTTCAAAGAAGAGAATGCATTTTGTCTTCTTGCTGATTGGTGTGTTTATTAACCCTTTTATCCTCTGAATGCCTTTCTGAGATATAAGTACTATTTGGATAGTATAATACCCACGAAATCCTAAAAAACAAAAACCCAAACGTACTTAATAATCCCTGATTTCCAGCCTTCAAATTTTTACCTCAGCAGGTGTTTTAAGATCATCTGGTTTCTCCCAAGTAGACTGTTTTGTTTCAGTATTGTAGTAGTAAGTCCTTCCATCAGGTGATTTATGTTCAGTCCACATTGACTTCTAAAGAAAAAAAAATTACAACATTTAAATTATTTAACAATGTCACTGACAGTGAACATCAGTATTATTGGTTTCAAAGCAATATATGACAAAATTCAAAGTATTAAATGGGCACACTTTTGACAGTTTAAGGCACATAGAATAATTCAGTGATGCAAATAAGAAGATAACTGAAAATCAGATTTTAAAAGTACTTCAAAAGCAGCATGAAATCAATTCAGGTTTTAGGATCTTTTCATTCTACACTGTCTCAGAATTGTAAGGCTATGAGTATTCTCATAAGAACGGTAATTTTGTAACTTAAATAAGATAATCTTTCAGCAACACAAATCAATGCCTTATGGATGAGTTCATGCTAATGTAGTATGTAGGTGAACTGATCATGAACTCAACAACCCGAATCCAAGGAATATTTACATCAAGTTGGACAAAGTTTTACAGAACCTACACTGATATGCTATAAAGATGCAGCTGTCAAAATTAGAAAGCATGACTTTTGGATGACAATAAGAACTTAACAATCAACAAGGTGAAATTTAACAGGTATAAAATGTGAATCCAAATGCCTCAACACAAGATAGGTGAGATCAAGCTTCATGTGAAACTGCTCGGATATAGAATATAAATCCACTCTTGGGGTCCAAAAACAAAACTACTAAGAACCTTCTAAAGTTCCTAGTAAAATCTGAGGTATCAATAGACATACCTCAAATAAAGGTTTGTTAAGAGTTTTACAAGGGTACTATATAAACATGCATGAATACCTGCACATACAAAATGATAATAAAGGGGAAGGGAGGAAACTTTGAGAGGTGGTATTTGATGGTGGTGATAGTTACATAGGTATATTTCCCAAAACAATCCAGTTGTACACATTAAATATGTACAGCTTTTCATATGTCAATCATACTTTAATAATGTGGCTTAAAAATAGTTTTACAAGGAATCACGAGTGAATGAATTACTGGATGAGATCAAAGGTACTAAGTCCAGTTCTGGCAGACTGTTCAGATGGTAACAAACTGAAATATGCTTGAAAGAGGGTTATAGAGATCATCTTTCTATATTTCTTCCAATCTAAGACAAAACATTACTGTATATACCTCTAAGAAAGGAAAAGTAAAATCGTCAACTGTCACATACTTTGTACCACTCAGCTTTTATATTAAATCTTATTGAAAGAATTTATTTTTACTTAGACATTGGCTTTACCACATATCACTTTTGTGAATAAATAAAAAGGAAAACAGGCAAATAAAACAATTAAGCTGTTCCTTAAACTTTACCGTGAAACCATTTTTTTGTATCAGAGTTGCTGATATCCATTATATTTCACACACACAATATCATCTGGCATTAAGGATACACATAATGCAGCATTTCTCAAAAAAATAAAACAACCAAAAACCACTGGTACTGACTTAATTTTCTTGCATTTTTATGTAAAGCTAATCTACCTTTCCTGCTTCCTTATCAACTTTATTGAATAACCAGGGGCCCGGTGCACAAAATTTGTTCATGGGTAGGGTCCCTATGTCTGGCCGGCAATCAGGGCCGACCTGTGTGGCGATTGGAGGGCCCGCTTGCACCCACTTGGCTGGCCTGGCGCCGCCCGCTCGCCGACTGGCCCCGCACCCCCGCCGCCACTGCCTCCCTCTTTGGGGCGACTGGCAGGGTGATTGAGGCCCCCCACTGGCACCTGCCTTGGCTGGCCTGGGGCCTGCAGGCTAGGGGCAGCTCCTGCGTTAAGCGTCTGCCCCCTGGTGGTCAGTGCGCATCATAACGACCAGTTGTTCCACCCATCGTTCTGCTGTTCAGTCAATTTGCATATTAGGCTTTTATTATGTAGGATAGAAGACCTACTTTTGATTTCTGCTTTGGGAATGTAGCTAAATTCAAGTGTTGGTTTTGCTACTCTCTCACCATAATCATTTCATTTCTAGCTGATAAAAGAGTGCTGTGCAATTATTTCTAGGATTTTCTTCTAAACTACACTGACATTAATTCTTCTGATGTTGGCTCGTTTGCTGTCCAATCATGTACAACTAGCCATGACTACTACCTGGAGAACAGAAATCATAAGACATGAATTATAGAGTGCATCCCAACTTCATTAATATTAAATGGAAAAAATAAATATGCTAGTAGAAAACTAGATAATGTAAGGATCATTTGTAAAAAGTGAGAATGGAGAGTCCAGCCAATGTTGCTCAGTGGTTGAGCGTGGACCTATGAACCAGGTGGTCACAGTTCAATTCCTGGTCAGGGCACATGCCTGGGTTGTGGGTTCGATCCCCAGTAAGGGGCATGCAGGAGGCAGCCAATCAATGATTCTCATCATTGATGTTTCTGTCTCTCTCTCCCTCCCTCCCCTTCCTCTCTGAAATCATTAAAAAATAAATACATTTTTAAAAAGTGAGAATGGAGAACACAAAATAATGTGATTTTTACAAGGATAGATGATTTTTCCTATAACTTTTGAGAATTATAATGAAAGAATTATAGGTAGCCATTAGACTACAAAGGACTTGATAAAATTTGGGCTGTTTGCTAACAAAATGAATGCCCCTTCCTAATGAGATTTGTTAAGTCATCTGAAAACCAGTCACAGAATGGACTGGAAGAATGAATGTATTATAAAAATATCCATCTACACAAAGCAATCCACAGATTCAATGTAAACACAAAATAATGTGATTTTTACAAGGATAGATGATTTTTCCTATAACTTTTGAGAATTATAATGAAAGAATTATAGGTAGCCATTAGACTACAAAGGACTTGATAAAATTTGGGCTGTTTGCTAACAAAATGAATGCCCCTTCCTAATGAGATTTGTTAAGTCATCTGAAAACCAGTCACAGAATGGACTGGAAGAATGAATGTATTATAAAAATATCCATCTACACAAAGCAATCCACAGATTCAATGTAACCCCCAGCAAAGTTCAAACTGCATTTTTCACAGGAAATAGAATAATCCTACAATTTCTATGAAACCACAAAATACCCCCAATAGTCAAAATCATCTTGAGGAAGAACAAAGCTGGAGGCATCACGCTCCTGGATTTCAAACTCTCTTACAAAGTACAGTAATCAAAACAGTTTGAGATTGACATAAAAACAGACACATAGGTCAATGAAACAGAAGCTAAAGCCCAGAAATAAATTCATGCACCTATGGTCATTTAATTATAACAAAAGAGCCAAGAATATACATAAGGAAATGACAGCATCTTCAATAAGTGATGTTGAGAAAACTTAACAGCCAAATTCAAAATAATGAAACTAGACTACTATCTTATACCACACACAAAGTTTAACTAAAAATGAATTAAAGATTTGAATTAAGATCAGAAACTATAAAGGCTCCTAGAAAATATCGGTGGTAAGTTCCTTGACAGTGGTATTGACAATCATTTTCTTATCTGAATCCAAAAACAAAGGCAAAGGAAGCAAAAATAAATAAGTGGGACTACAGCAAACTAAAAAACTTGTGTACAGCAAATGAAGCCAACAGATGAAAAGGCAACCTACTAAATGGAAAGAAATATTTGCAAGTCATCCTATGTAATAAAAGACTAATATGCAAATTGACCAAACGGTCACTATGACACGCACTGACCACCAGGGGGAAAACGTGCAACGCAGGAGCTGCCCCCTGGTGGTCAGTGCACCAGAAGCCAGGTACAAGGCTGGCGAGCACAGCTAAGGATGTCCGACTGCTGGCTTAGCGGGAGCGGGCCTAAGCCGGCAGTCGGACATCCCCAGAAGTCTCCCGGACTGCAAGAGGGCGCAGACTGGGTTGAGGGACCCCCCGCCCTGCCCTGAGTGCACGAATTTCGTTAACTGGGCCTCTAGTATATCTGATAAGGAGTGAATATCACAAATATATAAAGAATTCATACAGTTCACCAGCGAAAATCCCCAAACAGTCCAATTTAGAAACAGGCAAATTAACTGAATACACTTTTCCAAAGAAGAAATACAGATGACCAACAGGCACATGAAAAGATGCTCAATGCCACTAATCATCAGGGAAGTACAAATCAAAACTACAAGATAGCCGAAACCGGTTTGGCTCAGTGGATGGAGCGTCAGCCTGCGGACTGAAAGGTCCCGGGTTCGATTCCGGCAAGGGCATGTACCTTGGTTGTGGGCATATCCCCAGTGGGAGATGTGCAGGAGGCAGCTGATCGATGTTTCTCTCTCATAGATGTTTCTAACTCTCTATCTCTCTCCCTTCCTCTCTGTAAAAAATCAATAAAATATATTAAAAAAAAACTACAAGATATCACCTAACATCTGTTAGAATTATCACCAAGAAGACAATAAAAGTGGTAAAGAGCATGTGGAGAAAAGAAAACTCTTGTGCATTACTAATAGGAAAATAAATTCGTATAGCCATTATGGAAAACAATATGAAGGTTCCTCCAAATATTAAAAATAGAACTACCATTTTAACCAGAAATTCCACTTCTGGGTATTCAACTTAAGAAAACAAAAACACTAACTTGAAAAGATATATGTACCCCCATGTTCACTGCAGAATTATTTACAACTAGAGGCCTGATGCACGAAATTCATGCAAGAGTAGCCTTCCTTCCCCCAGCTGCTGGCACCGGCTTTCCTCTGGCACCCGGGACCAGGGCTTCCCTTGCAGCCCAGGCTTCACCCAGAAGGTCGTCCGGTCTAAAGAGCATATTACGCTTTTATTATTATAGATAGCTAAAATACGGAAATAATGTTAAGTGTCCATCAGTGGATGAATGGATAAAGATATGGTGGATGAATGGATAAAGATATTCTCTTGGTTGACTGACTAGTATTCCATTGTATGTATGTATGTATGTATGTATGTATGTATGTACATACATATATACACACACACATACATACATACATACAATGGAATACTATTCAGTCAACCAAGAGAATGAAACCTTGCCATTTGGGACAACATGGATAGACCTTGAGGGTATCATGCTAAGTGAAATAATCAGACAAAGAAAGACAACTACCCTATAATCTCACTTTTATGTAAAATCTAAAACAAACAAAAAACCCAAGCTTATAGATACAGAGAACAGATTGGTGCTGGTTGCCAGAGGGGAGTGGAGGGAGATGGGTGAAATGGGTAGAGACAAAATATACAAACTTTCAGCTATAAAATAAATGTCATGGGACTGTAATGTACTGCATAATCAATACCTTCTATCTACACTAATAAAAGAGAAAAATGGTAATTGGCGTACGACCGCTACCCTTCCCATTGGCTAATCAGCATATCCTTATGCAAATTAATTGTCAGCCAAGATGGCGGCCGGCAGCCAGGCAGCTGGAAGCGAACATGAGGCTTGCTTGCTCCCGTGACTGCAGACTCCAACGTTCCCCGCCTGACTTGCCGGCCTCTGAGCTGGCAGTTTGAAACATTCTAACAAATATAGCCGGCTGGGATCTCAGAGCTGAAGTTATACATTGTTTCGATTATAGAATGGCAAACAAACCAGCAGCGGAAGCCTCAGAGCTAGAGCCAGAGCTAAAGCTGGCCCAGAAGAAAAAAAAAAAAGAAAAAAAGGAGCGGTTGGGAGCTTCAGTCAGCCTGAAAGCAGCCCTCAGCCCCTCACCCAGACTGGCCAGGCACCCCAGTGGGGACCCCCACCCTGAAGGGTGTGTGACCAGCTGCAAACAGCCATCATCCCCTCATCCAGGCTGGCCAGGCACCCCAGTGGGGACCCCCACCCTGATCCAGGACACCCTTCAGGGCAAACCAGCCCGGCCCCCAGGCCTCTGCCCTATATAGTAAAGGGTAATATGCCTCCCAGCACCGGATCAGTGCAGCCGCGAGGCCTCCTGGCACCGGATCAGCGTGACAGGGTGCAGCGCCCAA